TTCGTGGGTTCGAGCCCCGTGTCGGGCTCTGTGCTGACTGCCAGCTCAGAGCCTGGAGCCTGTTTCAGAATATGAAACACACTCTCTCTCTGACCCTCCCCTGCTCACGCTGTTTCTCTCTCTCTCTCTCCTAGAAATAAATAAAAAATATTTAAAAAAAAAAAACTTTCATCCAAATCCATTTTTGTAATAGGTTTATGAGATGTAAGTGACATAGCATATAATTCATCCATTATATACATTAATGTGTATAATGCGATGGTGTTATGTACACCCCCCAGAGTTATGAAATCATAGCCACAATCAAGTGTGGAACATTTCCCTTCTCCCCAAAAGAAGCTCTGGGACCCTAGCGCTCACCCTCTCCATTCTCCCTCCCCACTGCTGCCAGAAACCACCTCTGTCTCCATAGATTTACCTCTTCCGGACATTTCACATAAAAGAAGTCCTACAATACGTGGCTTTTTGTGTCTGCTTTCACTGAGCATATTTTCAAAGTTTATCCATGCTGTCGCAGGTATCAGTACTTTATTCCTTTTTATGCCAAATAGCATGCCACTGCATGGGTACACCACACGCTGTAATCCACCCCTCAGTGGGTGCGCACTTGAGTTGCTGTGTTTAGCGATTACGAATACTGCTGCTGTGAACAGCTGTGTATAAATTTTTATGTGGACATATGTTTCCATTTCTTTTGAATATATGCCTAGGGGTAAAATTGCTGCGTCATATGTTTTGTGTTTTATCTTTGAGGAAACGCCAGGCTGTTTTCCAAAGTAGCTGCATCATTTTACTTGTCTACCAGTAGCGTATCAGGGTTCCAAATTCTCCACTTCCTTGCCAACACTTATTACTGTCTGTTTTACTACTGTCCTCCTGCTGGCGTGAAGCGCTCTCTGAATGCAGTTTTAAGAGACAAAACCATAGGGGCGCCTGGGTGGATCAGTCAGTGGAGCTTCCGACTTTGGCTCGGGTCATGATCTCACAGTCCGTGGGTTCAAGCCCCATGTCGGGCTCTGTGCTGACAGCTCAGCGCCTGGAGCCTGCTTCAGATTCTGTCTCTCCCTCTCTCTCTTCCCCTCCCTTGCTTGCACTCTCTCTCTCTCAAAAATAAACATTAAAAAAAATTTTTTTAAAGATGCAAAACCATAAAAATACATTGAACACAGAAGTAAACTCTTTAATGAAAAGGGAAAGAATGAAAATATTAGGAAAAGGACTCTGCAGTCAGGCTGGAAAAGGAAGTTTCAGTTCATTTCAGGTCCTTATGTAACCAACTGCCTCTCAAAGTGTCAGGATTGTGGAGTCAGCCCTCAGGTTCACATCTGGAGCTTCTAATAATCATAACAACAATAACTAATCTTGGTTATGGGTTATATGGTTTATTGGTAGTTACGGTAATTATGGTTTATTTTACAAAGTTCCCTCCCATATTCTAGCCTATTTGATCCACCACCACGAATCTTATATGGAAGGGTATTATTGTTCCCATTCTGCAGGTAAGAGCACTGAGGCCCAGAGCGGCTGACTTGACCAAGGGAATAGGAGTTTAAATACATACATATGTATATACATGTGTGTGTCTAATAAACATTAAATATTATATTTATAATATTTATTTCGTAAATATTAAATAAATAAAATGCACAGAGCTGGGCCAGGAAGTACAATTTTTTATCTCAAATCCCATCCTTGGTATCTCTTTCCTTATCGCTTCCATTTGCCGTATTGCTGATGACGAAAGAAGCAGAGGAAAAGCAAGAGAAGACAAAGGGAGCTGCAGGTATGTGAAGCAGTTAGAGGCAGGAAGCCTGCACACCATAAAGTCCCCACAGTCAGACTGTGAGAAAGCAGCTAGGGATGTATGAACGTGCTATGGCAGTGACGGTTGCATTCCCACCCCTTCATGAGAGGTTCCTCTAGTAATCCCTAAGTTCTGGGGGGCTCAGTTGGTTAAGCGTCTGACTTTGGCTCAGGTTATGACCTCAGGTTGCAGAATTCAAGCCCCACATGAGGCTCTGCACTGATGGTGCGGAGCTGGCCTGGGATTCTCTCTTTCTCCCTGCCCCTCCCCCAATGGCTCTGCCCCTCCCCCACTTGCTCTGCCCCTCCCAGCTCGCTCGCATGCGCTCTCTCTCTCTCTCTCTCTGTCAAAATAAACTTTTTTTTGAAGCTTATTTATTTTGAGAAAGACAGAGACAGCACAAGTTGGCGAGGAGCAGAGAGAGAAGGAATCCCAAGCAGGCTCCACACTGTCAGCCCAGAGCCTCAGGGCTGGATGCAGGGCGCCAACCCACAAAGCCATGAGAAAATGACCTGAGCTGAAACCAAGAGTCAGATGCTTAACCAACTGAGCCACCCAGGCACCTGCAAAATAAATAAACTTAAAAAAAAAATTCCTAAATTCTGAATATATCATCTGTACTTACAGTAGTATATTTAATCATACACACTAGTCAATCTAACTTATTGAGCAATTACTATGTGCTAGACACAGTACTAAGATGGCTGAAATTTTTAAAAAGAAGTGATTACACTTTTCCAAAATTAAATTAAATAGTGAACATTTTCTAAGCCTTTCACATGTAGCATCTAATTTAACCCTCACAAAATTCTTACCAGAGATGTGGAAACGGGCCCAGATAGAGTCAACTGACCCCAAAGTCACAAAACTGTTAAACGGTGGAAGTAGAATAAGAATCAAGGCAGCCTGATTCTATACCCTGTGTCCTGAACTGCCACCCAGTCCTTGCTGCCAGATCTTGCTTGGCTGTAAGTCATATGTGGTGATGCACAGAGTCCAATAATACTGATTAATTCCCACAGCCATTTGTTGAATGCTCATTAACACAAGAATCTCGGGGGCAAATTCTCACAACAACCCATGAAGTGCTTCTCTTCATTTCCATTTTATAGAGGAGGAAACAGAGGCTCAAGGGAAGTGAATTAACTTGTCCAAGGTCACAGAGCGCCAAGAGTTAGTGCTGCCATGGTGCTTACTATATACCAGGTAGTGTTCTAAGCACAAACTCATCTAATCCTCACAACGCTGTAAGGGAGGCTCCATTATTACCCACCATTCTCAGTTAAGTAACTTGTTCAAGGTCGCCCACTAGTAAATCGCAAACCCAAGATTCACTGAAAACAACTTCAGGATAATTACTGGATACACAGTGGCTGAGCGGAAATTCAAACCCAGGTCCACCTCCTGAGTGAGAGTGAAAGACAGTCCTTTTTTTTTTTTTTTTAATGTTTATTCATTTTTGAGAGAGAGACAGAGTGCGAGTGGGGGGGGGGGCAGAGAGAGAGAGGGAGACACAGAATCTGATTCAGGCTGATGCTGGGCTTGAACTCAAGAACCTCAAGATCATGACCTGAACAGAACTCCCACGCTTAACCCACTGACCCGGGGCCCAGAGAGAGCCTTCTATCTTGTTTCCAACAGGCTACTACTCACGGCTCTCAAAACTGTGGGGGTGCAGAGGGGTGCTAGGGCAGAGGCGAGAAACAACCGCTCTGGAGACCCCCAGGGAAGGGGCATTTAAGCTGCATCTTGAAGGAGAAAGTGCTTCCTGGACAAAGAGAGCCACTGCAACTTATTTAAAAAGAAATGAAAAGTACCCAAGTGAGGACTTTTAAAAAGCTAATATGATAACAAGGAGCAGATAAATTATTAAAAACTGTTTCAGATTGAATCAGAAAAGCTTTAATTTTTTCAACGAGAAAATACTCTTGATGAAGGAAAAGCAAGCCTTTATTCCCTTGAATTTTGACTATTATATAATAAAAAATCATCGAGGGACAGAAATGTGCAGTTTGCCTTTTGTTACGTTAAACTCAACAAACTGACTTCCAAAACTTACTTCCTCAATCTAAGTGCTGCAAGCAGGGTGGTTATTAAAAACCTTCAGGGATCTTTGCAAGATTCTCTCCTTCAGGTCCTGATACACAGCATTTACAAACCAAAATGAGCCTGGAGATGCTGGCCACGCATCAGAAAGAAGAGGCGAGCACCTCATTCCAGCTGGGCCGGGGGCAGGCACGCAAGTTGTGGCTCAAACGCTTCAGAGCCAGGGTTTTGCCCCCTGGCAAACTGATTTATGACCACACGAAAGGCAACTGCGGAACCGATCGTATTAAGTACATTACTCAACCATGAATCCAAAGACCGGGATGGGATGCGAATGTTAAAGGGGGGAGTGTGATCTGGGGTTCACTGCCTGTCCTCGGAGCGATGAGACCCGTCAATTCCTGATTCTTGCAACAGCCTGAGGCCGATGGACTCTGTTCCCCAAAATGTGCGCGCTGGGGAGCTGGCACAGCGGGCATCCAGGTGAGGTGCCTCCACGCCCCCTTGCGGACCCGAATGTCGATTGACCAGGATGTGCCAATTCAGTGATAGGTAGTTTTTCAGACACTGGGGCTTAGCCCCCACAACACCCCTTCAAGGGGGTCCCGGTGACCAGCCTCATTTTACGGATGAAAACGCTGAGGGTCAGAGGAGTGAAGCAGGACTTGCCCGCGAAAAGGAAAACCTTCAAGTGAAGGCGATCACTGGGCTGGCGCTTTCATCTTAAGAGTCAAGAGTCTGGGGCAGCAAGCGGCTTGGGGCTGCCCGCCCACCCTCTCGCTCCCTGGACAGACTAGGGGCCGGCGGGCAGCCAGCAGGCCTGGTAGTGCCCAGGTGCCCTGGAAGAGGGAGCGCGCGGCGGGCGGCGGCGCGGCTCCCGGGCGCAGGGCTGCAGCGGCGGGGCCGGGGCGCAGCGCGCACCAGCCGTTCGCACGCGTCCGCCTGGGGCGCCCCGCGCCAGTCCCGAGTCGCCGGACGCCCGGCTGCAGCAGCGAAGCAGGGGCGCGACGCCGACCGTCCACGCGCCCGCGGCGGTCCCGCAGCCCAGCGCGAGTCCCCAACACGAGGCATGCGCGTGTGCGCGCGGGACTGCTGCGGACACAGGCTGGCAGTGCCACCGCGCGCCCGCCGGCACTGCCCCGCGCCTTACCGTAGCTGCTCCCCGGTGACCAGGACCTCAGCCATGCGCTCCAGCTCCCTTTGCTGCGCTCCACCACCCCCGCCGGTGCTGCCGCCGCTGCCCTCCTCCATGGTCGGGCCGCGCCGCTCGCACTGTCTTCCCCAGACGCCGCGGGTTTGGGTGTTAAATCAGCCTGCCCTCACGGAGGCCTCCCCCGCCATCTTTGTTAGGGGCAGTCCCGTTGCTCCATCGCGATTGGCTGGAGAGGGAACCCCCTGCGGGTGGGCTGGGGCGCTGGGCTGCTGCGCTCCAGGAACTCCAGCTTGGGGCGGTGGCTGCAGCCCCGCGTGGTCGGGGGCGGGGCCGAGGGAGGAAAATATAAACATCTGGGCGGGGCGTCGGTCCTGCGGAGAGTGCGCCGGTGCAGGTTACAGAGGTGACCTCATTTTTCGTTACCCACGGAGCTCGTGCTCCGGGACCTTGGGGAAAGGTTAGGAGATGACTGAACAAGTGTGAAGGTATTTTTATTATACCGTCTGTGCTCCAAATCGGCAGAGTCAAAATAATAATGAAATAGCTCAACAGTGAACGGTGGAGGATATCCGGATATACACGTCACTGCAGGGGTTGGTGAAGTTAGGCATTATTCTCGTCCCAATCCCTTTCACCAAAGACAGCTTAGCTACCTTATAGTGTAATCACTGAAGAACGCTGGCCAGGGAATAAGAGATCTAGGATCCAGCTCCACGCCTATAATTTCCTACCAAAATGCGCTTAATTCTCAGTTTCTTCCTTTACAAAATAAAAATAACTATGGCTACCACTTGTTGACATCTACTGCGTTAAAGATGCCTCAGAGGAAAGAGAGGAAGGAGAAGAAATTCTTTAATTAATGCAACAAATTATAAAATGGGTATTGTCCTCATTTTGTGTCAGGAGACAGGCTCAGAGAGATGGGGTGACTTATCCAAAGCAGGCAGGTAATAAATGCAAGAAAAATCAAGCCCAGGACACTCTGGCTTCAGAATTGTGTTCTTAAAAGATTGCTTCTTAAAACGAGAATATGATGGTATTTTCTACAGGGAGGATGGAAGGAACTTTGACTAATACCAAATAAATGTCCGTTTATTCAGTTCCATGCAAGGTCAGAGCCTGGTCTGCAGGAAAACGGAGGAATGCTAACGGTAGTGGTCATTGTACTAAGGGGATATTTGTTTGTTGACTATTTTGCAGCTTTTTACAATTTTTGCACATATATAAGTCTCTGCACCCTTACAAGCAAATGTGAAATTTTTTTTAGTAAATACTGTATGGAAAGACATTCTTTCAATTGCAGATTTGTAGTAAGTTTACAGAATAAAAATAAAAATGAGAGGGCTATCAAAAAACAAACTTTGTTATTTGTATATTTTTTATCAAGCAGGTTTATTATATTTTACTGTTTTCTTCTTGGTTTGTTTTTAAAGAAGATCACTGTAGCATTTTCCAACATTCTACAAGATCATTACTTAACTTTAAATTTACAACAATTCACAGAACACTTATTCTGTGCTTTACATGGCTAAGCATTTTGTTTATATTATTTAATTGACTTCTGAGAGTTGGGTATTATTATTGTCAACTTACAAGTGGGAAAGCTTAAGCATAGAAAGGTTAAGTAATTTGCCTAAATTTCACACCTGGAAAGTCAGTTAGGCAGCTCTTGAACCCTGGGTCTGTACATGCTCAAGGTTATGTTCAACCATACTCCAGAAAGAAAAAATTGTCCCACTCCCTTGTGCATTCAACACTAGATATTAGGTAATTCTTTCACCAAAATAAATTATCCGATTTTCTGAACTTTTTAAATAGACCATGGCAAAAATGTAGAGCAAGCAAGACATAGTTCTAAGTGAATGTGATTCTAAGAGCTTCATTCTGCATAAACTATAAAAATAATTTAATCAGTAGAGGTCCCAGAATTAATGAATTTAACAACTGGCTGTCACTCATGTTTTAATCCTATATCATAGAATATCAAAAGTTTGCATGGACTTCACACTCAAACATGCAGTTTCTATACTGATTCTGTCATTTGTTAACTTTGCAACTTTATGCTAATTACTTCTCTGGGCCTCAATTTCCCCACAAGAATAATAATTCTTACCTTATGGGGATGTTGTGTGCCTTAATAACATTATGTAAAGTTTTCACGTACATATTGGTCAATAGCTGTTCTTTTTAATATCTTTACTGCTTTTAAAAAGAAGGAAGAGGAGGAGGAGGAGGAAGAAAAAGAGGAAGGAGAAAAAATCCTTATCAGATACTTTCCATGAGGAATTTTTGGTGCAAGGCAAAAACACTTTTTCTCAAGTTGTGTCTAATTAATTTTTTAAATTATTAATGGGCCTTCAAAATGAAGAAAAGAAGGGCGCCTGGATGGCTCAGTTGGTTGAGGGTCCTTCCAACTCTTGATATCTGCTGAGGTCATGATCCCAGGGTCATGAGATCAAGCCCCACACTGGGCTTCATGCTGAGTATGGAGCCTGCTTAAGATTTTCCCTCTCCCTCTCTCTCTTTCCCTCTCCGTCTCTGTCTCCCTCTATCCTCCCTGGATCACACACACGCATACTGTCCCTCTCTCAAAAAATAAAATGAATCTTAAAACAAAAAAAAGAATAAAAGAGAAGTGCAGAACTGGCCTCCCTAAATCTTTTATTTAATGTTTTTAAGCTTTTTGAAAGTATAGAATGAAAAAAAGTATTACAGCAATGTTCAACACTGTTTTATCCAAAAGCTCTGACTCCGTGTTGTAACTCAAATCACTATTGTGATTGTCTTTTGTTTTTCTTCCTATAAATCTGGTTGTGTTTTCACTTAAATTTAGGCAACTTTATCCAAAAAATAAAAATTAAAAGAAGTGTATTTTTGTAAAATACTTTCTTATTTAATGGTTTATGATTTTAAAATGTGATAAAAACCTTTTATCGTGGAAGCTTAGGATTTTAAAAAAACACCTTGACATAGGGGAAAAATTCAAGTCAGGAAAATACCTCATACTGCTCCAGTGAGAAAGAGCAGAATTTATTCTTCTTGCTGGATGAAAAGGATTGTGTGTGTGTGTGTGTGCGCGCGCGCGTGCTCATGTCCACGGGAAGTGAGAACTGGTTTGCTGTCATTGTCTCAAACTTTCTTTTGACATGAGTCACTCTGTGCTCTATTGGGTTAGAAGACAGACCTTTTTCCTACCTTAGGAAAAGATCAGTCTGACTCCTGAGGACACGGAAGCACCAATGCTGAGTCTGTGAGCTTGAGCAACTGGTTCCAGAGTAGACTGTGATCTCCAGGGATCGCTGGATAAGAGATGGGCCCTGGCACGGGGATTAAACCAGTGTAAAGATCTTAAAAGGGCCCAAAATTCCACCTGACCTCGGTTTGATTCCTGACTCCAGTGGGGCAGGTTCATGATCATCCCTAATTTTTGCCCTCTTCTGTAAAGTCAAGGTCATACTACTAATCCCATTGGGTTTTTGGGAGGACTAAATAAAATGTAATGAGCGCACTTGTTAAAGGTGGGAACTATTGAAGGTAAGCCTTCTCCTCCACCTGGTCTGCTCACCTGCTTCATGCCTTCTGGCTGTTTTGCTGCTCTGGGCACAGTGCTCCTCAAACTTCTGGTAGGTGCGCAGGCGTGCGTGCATGCTCGTGTGTGTGTGTGTGTGTGTGTGTGTGTGTGTGTGTGTTTTCAGTTCACTGAAGATTGACATTTTGGTAAAATACAATAGATATGAACATTTAAAATGTATAAAACACAGCCCCGATTTGTTCTTGTTGTGGTCAATGGACAGAAAATTGGCCAGTTGTTACAAACATTTCACTCGGTGTCTGCATGTCTCAATGTCTCTCCATACAGGTGACGGTCACCAGTTGACAGCCCACAGTTTTAGCCTCACTGGTTAAGGGTGAGCAGCAATGTGAGAGGATGAGCTTGAATAAAACATGTGAAGGAGTATTGTCAACTCTGAAGCCTCCACCACGTTAGCTAGGAGTACTGTGTTGCCCTTTGGTATTCGCCAGTACTGTTCCCACCTGGTCTTCAAGATCAACTCAGACTCCACCTTCCCTGTGGTGTCTTCTTTTTTTTTTTTTTTTTAATTTCTTTTTTTTAATGTTTTATTTATTTCTAGAAGAGAGAGAGAGACAGCGTGACCAGTGGAGGGTCAGAGAGAGAGGGAGTCACAGACTCTGAAACAGGCTCCAGGCTCTGAGCTGGCAGTCAGCACAGAGCCCGACGCGGGGCTCGAACCCACGAACCGCGAGATCATGACCTAAGCGAAAGTCGGACGCTTAACCGACTAAGCCACCCAGGCGCCCCCCCTGTGGTGTCTTCTTATACCCCCTCAAGAGGTGTGCTGTTTCCTTTCCTATGACTTCACATGATATCAGAAGATTTACGTTACTTTTAACCATTAATGGGAGTCTCTGTTCCCCAGCTTTTGTTCTCTTTCTGTGAATGGAAGCAAACTGATGGTTTAGTAATAATTTCCTGTCTAGATATTTCTGTTGACAGGCCCTTTAAGAAGGGGAAAATAAATGTAAAAATAGAGGAAAAATAAAATTTTCATGTCATCATTCACATCCATTTTTAATGTTTTTTGTCGTGTTTTGATTCTTTTTTGTAGTGATAGAAATCGAACGTCGCAAATAAATATATGCTTAGGTCCCACGGAGTTCTTAACTGCTGGAAGGGCATCAAAATTACTTAACACTTTGGTATGTGCTGCCACCTAGTGACTGATTTCATGATGACAATAAATGATAGTAGATCTCCTATAGGAAAAGGGCTAACTAACTCCAAGAAGGCTTTTCGAAAAATTTGTGGGGGGAGGGGGGGCACCTGGGTGGCTCAGGTGGTTAAGCATCCAACTCAGCCCAAGTCATGATCTCATGGTTCTTGAGTTCAAGTCCCACGTCAGGCTCTGTGCTGACAGCTCAGACCCTGGAGCCTGCTTCGGATTCTGTGTCTTCCTCTCTCTGACCCTCCCCTGCTCATGCTGTCTCCCTCTTTTTCAAGAATAAACAAACATAAAAAAAAAAAAGGAAAATTTGGGTGGGGATTGTGGTGCGTCACATTGTTGGGACTGCTAGTGGCTTTTCGTGACCAGGAACTAGGGATGCTAGATATCTCACTTTCTTGGAACAGCACCTTCTAAGGAATTATCCTAAATCCTGAATGTCTTTCCTAGGTTCTGCGGGATATTCTTTTAGATGAAAAACCTGTTTGCTGTTCTCTGAGCTTTGAACCTAATTTGGTTTTATATAGAAACACAAGATATTTTTT